ATATATTTTATTTCTACCTGGTAAGCTAATGAAATAAAAATATTACTGATATAAGTGTAACAGCAGTATTTATAATTCAAAACCCCTTAGATTTTTAAATCATAATTAAGATGTTGTATTAGTGAATATACTTGTTAGCATTCATACAAATAAACAAACCTCAGTAAAATTAATGAACAGTTTGTATACAAGAGCTACTCACAAGTTACAACCAAGACAACTTTCAGTTTCTTAATTCTGCAAGATGGAAGTATGTTTCAGGGATTTTTAACATTTAACCAAGTTTCAGGGCACTATCCTTTGCCAGAAGCACGCTCAGCTGTCAGGTTCATTGTACATGACAGCCTATACTAAAACGTTCTCTTCTATAGACTCAAAAATTCTGATAATTGACATGCTTTCAAAGGAAGAATTACATTTAACTTACCTCTGGCCCAGTGAACAGGGTAAAGATGTTTCCAGAGAGATCCAGTTTTAGCCAGCTGCGACCACTCAGTGCTTACTTGACTACACTGACATAACTCCTGGGGGTTAAGGTAACTGAAAATGGTCAGCATTACTTCAGGAGGAAGATTAGTAATATTTGTGGTGTGCCCTGTTACTTCGGTTTCTGAAATATAGAAAGTGTGTGTTAAGTGAAGCACAGCCTCACAGCTTTAAATAATAGTGGAACTCACATTTTGACTAGGGCAGTGAAAAAATAGCGTCTGAAAAAAAATTTTAAACAATTGTTTGGCAAAAGAGTTCAAAAAAAAGTTATTGCTTTGGCTTTAAAAAGCTTTCACTGTAATACCACCTTAAACAAACAAAAAAAAAATCAGCCCAGCTTTCTGTTTGCCATTTTCTCAACTTGCTAGTTTTTTCCAACCCGGACCCCTCACGGGTCCAAAAAAGCCCTGGACAAAAGTAAACTGCTGCTACTCAAACACAGCAAGATGAAAGCAGTATCTGCTCTAAACGAAATACTTTTAAAAAATGCCGTATGTCATAGATGATATATATACCTGCTTTGCCACATTTCCAGGAAATAGTACTAGCACACAGAATCTACCAGCTGGGACCACCCTCAGTGAAAGTGCTCAACCTCCTGACTGGGACACAGCGAGAAGTCCATGCTTAACTCTTTGCAGCTGTCTCATTTTTTATTTCTAGCTTTAACTACTAGCATAGACAATTAATTTTAACTCCTTAATTTAGATTGGAAGGTAATGCTAAATATTAGGTTAAAGGCTAAAATTTGACCACTGTAATTAATACTTCAGTGGACAGCAGTAGGAATCATCTCCAATAGCTCTCCCTTACTTCAGTACAAGGAGAGCTGCAAACTATATAAAATAATAAATTCAGCGCTTTGGTTAGTGGTTTTTTTGCTGCTTTAAGAAAATTTTTAATGCTTTGTTTAAGGACAATTTACTTGAGAAAAAATATTTCTAAAATAGTTTTCAGGAGTCCTTAGAAATAGCAGGTTTCACAAATTAGTAGCATTTTATTTTTAAAGATAGGACACTAAGTACCTAAGACTTTACAGTGAGACAAGGATCAGGTTTCTTTTTGCAAAGAAGCTTCAAAAGTGAGCATAATGTAAACTTTACCCTGTGATAATCTATTGCTACTTGAAAAAAATATAATTAAATACAGTTTCACTTGATAAATCAATATATTTATTTGTATACCTGGCAAATCGCTGCAGGTAAACTACAGAGAATTTCACACTAAAATGCAGTTAAAACTGCACAGGACTGCAAGCTGTGTAATTTTCTTCCATTTTTAAAAAAAATGGATGCAGGACACATACTTTCTTCTCCCTGAAGTCTAGAACACACCATTGCAGAATTACTACTGTCCCAAAACTGCTATTCCAGCTAGACTTAAGAGCAAGTAATGCCATAAGGCTACTTCTGTCACATTCATCTGTTCAGACTCAATAGTATTTCACACCATGGACCATGATCTTTTCTGAAGGTTTCACCTGGAGGGCAGAAAATGACCAGTTCAGAGAAGTCAAGTTTCATCAAAAAAATCTGATTACAGAGTAGTTTTTCAAGTTTTTCTAACGAGCACCACATCTTATCAACACCACAAAGTCAGTTCATGAGGGCTTGCTCTACCTATCAGTCTCACACCCCAGTATTACACTTTTGGTACATTAATTCCCCTTCTTTGGGACATCAACCCTTCTTTGTTAGTTAAGAGTGAAAACTGCAAACACGGACAACTTAGGCTGCTTCAACAGTCACAGAACAAGCCTGAAATGCACTTCAGTAGTTATCCATTTATTCTAAGTTCCATCAGGAAAGGCAGTTACAGATGAACGCAAATTAAATATCCACTTTCAGAATGCACGTTTCATCTGACCTACTCACACACTGCATGCATTCAATCCCTTGCATCACTCCACATACAGTTTCTTCCTTTCTGATTCCTGAGAGGCCCAGGGAATTTAGGTAATAGAGTTAGGAAAGATGAGTTTAATTTGAAATATTGTCAGTTGGCTAACTATTCTGTGTTATTAAACCATCAACAGAAAAGCTTACAAAGTAGTCCTGAAAACCAAGAATTAAATGCAGGGTCTGCAAATAGAAAATATAATTTCAATGGAAATATGAAATCAGAAGTTAATTATCATTTCCGCCTGTTTATTATATCAAATATTACCACGGGAGGGAAGGGAGAGGAAGAAGGTTGAGAACAGGTAAACAGTGAAGTACTATCTACATTACATCCTGCCAAGAAGCCTGTATCAAACAGTAAAACTTCCTGAAGTTTCAAAACTGGTTTGAAGAAATTCCCATTTTATAAAAACTATTTTATTTGCCAGTATGTAACTTTAGGTATGTCACTGGTGTGGCTTTTTAGATAAAAATTGCAGTTTGAAAATTATTTTAACTTTAATTAGATGCTTCACCTTGATCTGCCTTCTCATCCACAGAATACTTAAAGACCTTCTGAAGCTCTTCAGCTTGATTCCACTTACTAAGACCTCTGAATTCTACAGCCTCCTTCTGTGAGCAGTGCTGTGCAATTACTTTCTTCTTAATATCTTTCAATTCTTCGTAAGTAAAGTATTCCATCAACATTGGCTGAAAAACCTAAAGCAAAAGAAAAAGGAAAAAAAAGAGTCTGGTGCTGACGGAGATAGTCGATAACACTACACAGACCTACCAACACAGAATTGCGTGTTTCAAATTCTCTCCAAGTAAAACATGTCATACATTAAGTGAACCTAGGGACAGGACCATGGAAGTTTTGAGTTCCAACCCTCTGCTTGCCAATGGATCACTGCATAGTCTCAGGCAAGCTGTTTAACTGTTTTCCCCAACAGAAAAGGGAAGTAATTAAAGTTGCTTAAAGTATGTAACTTATCAAGGTACTCACACGGAAGGCAAAGTGGCAAGGATGAAAAACATGAGAAAAGATTTCTCTTGGACAGACTTCGGAAGATTTACTCTCTCCAGAAGATGCTTCCCAGTTTTTGGATACCCACAAATCATCAGACTGGCAGTACTAGTCTATGTTTCAAATATAGGTCAGAGGCTGTTTGGGAGTGTCAGTTTGAGTCATAAAGCACTGGTTTACAGGACTTCTCTTTTTCCTTTAAGTTTTGCTACACATCTCCTTAAATAACTACCTGCTGCAAACAAATCCCAGCCCCATTGGACTTCTGTTAAGAATTTTTTAAAAGACCAGAATTTCATCTTAATTTTAGAACGTGTCACTCTGCAGTCAGAGAACAGAACAATGACACCACAGTCCTGAATGCAAATTGGCATAGTAATAAAAACAGAGAATTGTGAACAAACTGAACCTCTAAGGCCTTTGTCTCTATTCAGTCATTCCAAACACCAAGGAAGATCAGCATATTTGAGGCAGATTTTTACTTACCTCCTCTTCCTCCTTCATATGAGGAAGGAAATCCCTGGTAAAGGCTTCCAATCTCTCCTTCAGCTGTTTCGCATAGTTTAGCTGTTCATATTCATTCTGAGAAGAAAGCAAAGATGAAACTGTTATCTAATCTTGTCCATTCATTCAAGGGTTGAACTGTTAAATAAACCAGTATTTCAAAGTGAAGTCCATTATGTCTTCCCCATGCATGCAGCATGTTTGCTCTATTTCATGATAAGAATGTGTTCATTTACAAAGTTTCATGACAAGCTGACAGTCTGTATTGGCCTGTTAGTAGGCTGAACAAAGTATTCCCTTCCTGCTTAATTCCAATTTATTTTGTTATCAGACATGAACTAACTTGTCTAATCACGTTTTTACTTCGGAGCAAAGACTGAAGTCTGCCAATCTATAGTCTCACCCAAAGTTCACAGTAGTAACAGACTAATCTAAATATTTGCATGTTTTGCATAAGAATTATTCTAGGGTACAGCAGTTCCACTTCATCTTTTAACTGCATACAATGTAAACTGTATTCTACAATTCTAGCTTCCAAATTATAATCAGAATTTATAGTCAGACATGCTCTATAGATATTTACTTTGGAAATGGAAAGAACTCTTAAAGAAAGATGTAACTGACTTTCAAATGTTCAAGTTAGACCAACTTCATCTATCAATTTGTTAGCTTGTTCTCTGTGCCAGTAACAAGCTGGTTCTGAAGTCTGCCCAGTAATTGCAACATACTGAAGTTCCTCATAGCTCTTACAGTAAATGTTGTAAGTTTTTCTTTTCAAACTTCTACAACATCAAGAAACCCTGACTATTACAGAAAAAAGCTTAAGCCATCAGTTTAAATTAAACTAACCACACTCTCAAAAAAAGTTAAACAGTTACATATTTAAAGAGAGCTAGAGAAATCTGTTTTTCCACACTTAAGAAGTCAAGTAGTAGAATAACACTAGCATCCTATCAGAGAAGGTATAACACAAAGCCGAGTGTTAAGTTTCCCCTCTCCTTCACTTTCCTTCATTTTCCGATTTATTAATGGAAACAACTTAAGATAAATTGTAAGGTTTGATATGCACAGGGAAAAAATTATTTGCAGGATTCCCGGGTCAAAAACAAACTTAGATAGTAAAATGGAATCAACTGCATATTTAGTATTTTTCTTACTGAAGATATGGACCATGTGTACTAGAAATGTAATATGGGACAAAAAATTATTACTGGAGACTATAGTTCTTAAAGTGCAGGAAGGGGGAGTTGAGTTGGGTACCCCAGAGGAAAGACACAGCAGAATTCAAGTAAGATTCTACTGGAGAAGAATTTAACAACTTTAAGTTGTGAAAAAGCCAGCTGCAGAAATAACATTTGGAGTTTCTTCAGGACTGGAACATTAACAGCATTACTGAGCAACAGATTACTGGAAAGAGTACATGACTCATTAACAGAATGAAACAATTTTTTTTTTAAGTCCTGTAATCATCTCCGTTTGTGACAATAATACAGTGCTATGTGCCACAAAAAAAAGATACTCAGGGTTTCTGAACAAATTAATAAAAAACATTATTTCTATAGTCAGAAACTGTCTTGACCAATTAGCAGAGCAGTCTTTGTATTTAAAACTTCCATGTTGTCTCTCCAAAATACCGCAATTATGCAGTGATGGACTTCTGTCACAAAGTCACATTCTGAAAAGAATTTTTACTAGAAATTTAGTAACGGTGATGAATAGCAAAAGAATTTGTGTTTCGGACTGTAAAGTTTTCACTACTATATCAAGAAACCACAAATGTTTCTTCTTCCTCTTTATTTGTAGAGAGTATTAAGAAAAGTTGAGGCAAACTAATACGTAATCACAGCATGTTTTCCTTAGGACACAAGTTCTTCTTATAGTCTACTTACCTTTACATTCTTTAACCCTTTCTCAAAGAGGCTAAGCATCTCTGAGAGTTTGTTGTCCGAGTGCACATTGTACACTGTCCGGCTACGTTGCTGAAGTAAACCAATGATACACTCATTTTCAATCTGCTCATGCATTTTAAATTCCTTGAATGTGGCATAAAGAGATTGCAGAAGAGCCCGAAAATCATTGTTGTTGGAGAAGTTGGTCTTGGAAAGCTAGAATAAAGAAGAGTTCATTAAAAAAAAAAATCAACGAAAATCATGTCAAGGTCAAGTTAAATCCTTAGAGCAGATATTAGGCTCCTGTTATTCATTGTTCCCATTACTTATAACATAAAAGCTGAAAACCTTCAGTTTTATAAAGAAAACAGGCAAAAAATAAAAATTGAATTTGCAATTTGAGCAACTCACTTCAAAGACATCAAAAATTAGAGTAATGAATGCTTTTAATTCCAATCTTCAACCGCAATAGATAAAAATAAGAGATTCAAGTGCATAGATAGGAATACACAAACTAGGCTTCTATGTGAATAGTAACTTTCCCATAATTTATATAATTGGTGCATTAGAATGTAATTTAATACAACTTCTTCCAGAAGTGGGCAGAACTAATATTGGCATTTGAATAGTACAGATTAACAAACATTTATATAATATCCGTACTAACATGACTCTTGAAATTATTTGCAGAATTCATAATTATTTTAACCTTCATGACTGACTTGCCATTTGATTTTTATTTGTTAACAGGAACTGACACAAATTCTATATAAAACCCTCAAACTCATTTTAAAACTTTCAAAAACTCATTATGCATGGTTGTTTCATGTATGTTTCCTCTTACAGTTTACTAAAACAGTAAGCCATTCACACTCAAATTCTGTTAACTCCCCAAAATAAGTTAACAGAACAGTTGTACTTTGTGAATGAGGTTTAAGTAAACTAAGGGATTTAATTGCACAATTCTCTGATTTCCAGTGGCAACTATGTAACTTCATTTCCCACCACAGGCTCTGAAGAAAAAAAGAAAATGAAGCTATAAATTTTAGAAGTATTACACGAAACTAATGATAACTACAGAAGTTTAACAAAGCATAATACATGCAATAATGCACATTGTAAAGAAAAGCGTGTTACATTTAATCACACGAAGTCTGAAGGCAACTGTCTTATTCCACATGAATGAACAGAGCTTAAGAAAACAGCGAAGTAGTACAATAACTTTTCAAAGGAAGATCATCCTTGAGAGAACAATGCGGTTATAGCATTAGCTTTAAGAAGTCTGTAAAATCAAAGTTGTATTTAAGGAACATAAACCAATCTTGTGAAACATTGCGATAAACAAGTGTAGAAAGATTTCCTGGTAGAAATGAATGCAATCTCCCCACCCCGGCAGGTAACTGAAAGGCTTAGCCACTTTCCCAGACCTACATTTTAGTCCTTACTAAGAAGCCATTATCATAGGCCCCTGAGCCTACCGTTATGGACATATCATCCACGAGGAACACTGAGTCCTACCAAGTGAATACAAACTATACTAACTGTTGGAAAAGGTTTCCAATGGTCCGAGAACCAACAAATGAAGACAGCACAAAGTTCTAGGTAACACGGTAGTGCCATTTTTACATGCATACAGTCACCATTAGCAACGGTATGTTTTAAAATTGCATTTTCCTTTGGTGAGTGTAGAAAAACAGTATTTTTTCCATTCTTATGTTTTATTCCACGAGCAGCTTCAAGAATCATAACCTAGAGCAAAATACAACAGCAAACATTCTAAAAATAGAAGTATTTTAATTTACTTCAGAAAACAAGCCACTAGGGTATTCAGAAGTGTTTTAGTTTACAAAGATTCTGGAATCTAAGGGTTTTACTAGAAATGGAATCTGAGACTTATATGTTCATATATAATACTTACCTACATCAAAAATAACCATAAATTGAGATATCTAAAACTTCTATTATTTAAAAAAACCCAAATGCACTTACTCATTCTGACATTGCATTGCCACTTCCTGGCAACCACTAGCAATGCAACCGAAACACGCTGGACATCTGCCAAGTACTTATGCAACTCCAACTCAGCTGTGCCTACTGTATATTACATACCATACATATAAGCAAAATGACTGTCATTATGGAAAAACACATTTACTTAGCCTCAGCGGAGATAGAAAATAGGGCAAAGTTAAGGGTTGAGTTTGTTTCCCAGTATCTTTTAGACCAACTGCTAACAGGCCAGAAAAAAATCATGTTTGTGATGCACTGTGTTAGGATTTGACGCATGCGTTGTCATGCACATATCACAAACAGGAAAAGATCTTGGCTCCAAAGACCACTTCTATCCTATGCTAAGCTCAGAGAATGCAATATACAGAGCAGTGGTACTAGATGAAACTACAGGCTAGACTTTCCACACCGAAAAGCAGAAGTCTGAACAAGCACAGGAAATAGATGCAGAAATATGTCTTCAGGATAGCCTCCTCACCTCCAGCCATTTGTGATTCAGACCTCAACAATGGTGAAGTTTGGTTTCTAATGTAGCATTTATCTTGATCAAGGACTATCTCAAAAATTGTTCATTCTACTCATAAGGATCTACAATACCGGAAGTCAGTCCCCAAAAACCCTTTTTCCCCCCAAGAATCCCATTTGCTCCCAAATGCTTGGCATTTTGATTGACGTAAAAATGTAAACAAGGCTGCTGAAGTGTGTAACAGTAAGGTTAGACAAAACTATTGTATTTTGCTGTTGGTTTAAAAAAAAAAAAAAAAAAGACAAAATTAGTTCTGATACAAAATAGCCATCAATACTTCTACCAGGAAATCTTTCTACAAAATCATCCTCCTAACTCAAGATCTTTTCATGACTCAAACTTCTGTTGAACCTACTTATTATCATCCACAAATCTGGAGTAAATAAAGAATCCATTTGTGCATCCAATTTAAGAATTCCTTTTATAAATGTATTGTTATAGAAGCCACTGTAACATGAAATGCTTGCATATTCACCTCTGCTACTGAGGCTTCCAGCAGATATCCAAGAGATTAGGAACTATGGAGAGGATATTGAAGTTTAATGACTGTACTTGAATCAGCAATCGGTACATTAAAAAGGTCAGCCGAAGCTGAGGAAAACTGGCTTTTCAGAGGACAGGTAGCCTAGCAACAAAGTCACTCGGTCAGATCTGTAATTTCATTACCAGGACTGATGAAGTCTTATGATGGGGGACCAAGACTATTAACAGACAGCAGCTGCTACACTCTGAGGTCCACTTTTCACCAGTTCTACACAAGGAAAACTAGCGCAGGAGTTTAGTAGTGCAAAAAGAAAGCCACGACCCCCCAAACTCAGACAGAGAATCCCAACAGAACAGCAACGGGGAGGAAATGGATTGTATTAAGGATATTTGCTGACTGGTCAAAAATATAAAGCACAGTGTGTGTGTGATCCCTGAGCAGGCTTAAAACACACCGCACTAAACTGATTATCACAGCCACAGGTGTTAGACATACCTGGGAGCCTTCTGGACTTTTGAAGACATTAGATTTAAACAACTGTAAGTTACAGCACAACTGTGTGTGTGGTTGGAATGCAAGCTTGAATTGAGGAACGGTACCCCAAGAGAAACAGTCATGGTGCCCCTGAAGCCTCATGAAATTTAAGAATTCTACATAATCCAAACAGCTGAGCAACAGGCCAAACAACAGACAATCGCATTGCAAATTTTGTCTGAAACACTTCAGAGACCTTTGGCTGATGTAGGCATACTCTAGAAGTAGCCAGGAGCTGTTAAACTCAGTACTAACTTTATTTATTAAACCCTTAAAACAAAAACAAAACAAAAAAACCCCACCAAACACCACACCATACTTCAACTTTATTTCGTGTAAACTGAGGAAGGCACATCAATAATCTAAGGGCCTCTGTGGTGCCAGCAGTGAAGCAAAGCAAGAGGTCACAAAACGTACCAAATCTATTCCAAGTAACAGCATGACGAGGAGATAGTCACACTAACCTAAGACTGCTGTTCTCCTCTAAAGTTCTTCATACTTAACTAGTCAATTTAGGGGTTTTGCAGTATACAATACTTAAAATCAAGACTGAAGTAAAAATTGGAAATATTGATTATTTCATCAGGGTTGAAAGAACTGTGTAAACTAATATTAGGATTATTAAGAAGTAGATCTTAGAAGTTTTCTGTCATTGATCCAAGATCAGATAATTCCATCCTTCCTTTGCAGGAAAAAATAGTAACCCTGAATTAAGAAATCACTTAATGGACATCTTTTTTTAAACCTCAAATTACACAATTAAAAAATAGCTATGTCTGAAAAATCTTTGTAGTTCAAACATATACCAGTTTTAGGTGAGTGCCCAACTCCACTGGACTACAAAAGAGCCATTAACACGGTCAAGATGAACGTACAGAGATGTAGCAAACAAACACCCTTCCTTACTGTAAGCTATTATTTCATTTTTGTGCTTCAAGAACAAGATGACAATACCGGCAAGATTAACAGTAATTGCTATTTATACAGTGCTTCATGTTCATGATGCTCAACTGAAGGTAATTCTACATTCAACTCTTGCATCTCCTTTGTGGCTTTAGTGCTTTCATTAAAAAAATGAAACTTTCTGTCAGATGAAGACACAGATATTTCTATCCAAAATGTTGTGAACAAATAAGAAAGCTTAAGTCTCCTGATTAAATCACCAAACAAAATACAGTATTACTTGGTTTCTGGAAGTATTTTACACATGTGCCAACATGGAAAAAAGTCTTCCTAGAAGAAGAAAATTAATTTTCCAGAAATGCTAGTTTACAGTGAGTAAATTGAAACAGTTATTTCACAGTATCTATGCCAAAAATACAGTGGAAAAGGTTTGCTTCTTCCTAAAAATATCCAAGCATACTACTAACTGGCAAGGAGAAAGTAGCAAACAGGAATAAAGAAAAAGTATGCTGCTCTTATCAGACTAGCACAGCAGTAAGCAAAGTCTATGCTGTGTGCTAACTTTCTGAGTTACAAGTGTCCCTACTCCCAACTACAAGCTGGAAAACAGCAAAAATATGAGGAAAGCGAACGGGAAAGGGAAAAATTATTTTTCCACTCTGCCCAAAGATTTCATTAATTTAAAAAGGAATAATTACTCAAGGTTAAAGAAGTTAAAAGTGGCTACAAATTCACAAACTGCTTTATTTCAAATGAAGG